GGTGTTGGTCGGGCTCTACTACTTTCTGACAAACACATAGTCCAACATTCTCCAAACCTAGGCAAATAAAACTCTCTTATTGTGAGAAGATTTGTGTAATTTGGGTGAACTGACCCTTTAAAGTCTCCTGATCACCATCAGAATGACTATCCCTGAACCAAAACCTCTCAGATACACACAGCGTTTCCATCAGCAGACATAAACCCTGCAGATATGTCTCTCAACACGATCCTGAACCTCCTGGCTGTTTACTCACTGTAGGAGTGCGCTCACACCATGATTGTTTATTATCTCTTATGTAATATCCTGCAGGGAGTCTATTAGTCAGTGCGACTCAGCAGTTAAATTCTGATTTATTCTTGCAACACTGCAGAGCTTGGTTCGTCTAGACTAATATGCACTTTGTGGTGGCTTCTAATAACGATGGAAACTAAGCTACATGTATTATCCATGCAAACATTATGGAAGCTGCTCTGATTTACAGACACATTGTTGCCATCCATTAAATAAGTCTGCGCCAACGTGCTCACCAAAAACATTAAGTTACAGTAGTTTAAAAAAATCCAGATTTGTTCACTAATTCATTTATATAATACAACAATTATGCAGGTGCTTCAAACAGAGTCATCTCATCCATGGGGGTACACGTGAAGAGAAACTATTTATTCCTACTATTCATGTATGACATAACAGACAGCGTGTAGGAACACTTTATTATGCAGGCTCGTTATTTCCTCATAACTTCCTACTTATTTCCCCACAATAGTCCTAGAAATAATGTAATTTGGTACTAACTATACTCTTACTACTATTATACTAAACCCAATATTTATTGATCATTCATTTATTATTAGAAACTTTATCATTCTTCTGCGTTAAATTGCCAAATTGCCAATGTTTGGATGTTGAGCTGTGCTACTGATCTAAAGACTCTTGGTTACACTAGAGTAGCAATTAATTGTAATGATTGAATTTAAGTGTTTCACTTGAACACTTTATTTGAACTATAATTAATGTCAAATTTCATAGTTATTTCAAGGAAACTTGCAAAGACATTAACAAGAAATTGTGAGAAATGTACGGACCTGTAAAAAAGTGTTACTAATATTTCAATAATAGAAAATGTTTTTGAAATAATACAAATACTTTAAGGTGATTTCTATCAGCCTTTTTTAGCTTTTCCTCAATATGCCAACTTTTGCCACCTTAGTTAAGCGGCCAAGGACTCAAAAACCTTTTTGATAATTAGAGAAAAACTGACCTGTTTCCTCTTAGGTGTTTTTTAATGCACAAATTGAAAATGTGCATAAGAACAGGAAGGTGCAAACTCCCCCCAGTGTGAAAGGAATAGTTCTATGTTTTGGGAAATGTGCTTTTTTTGCCCACCATTCAAGGGTTACTATGGCAGAGTGAATGGCCAAACTCACGTCAAGCCTTTGTTAAGGGATAAATAATCTCTTGAAAGAATAAATCTAGTAAAGCATAAAACTCAACAAATACACACACACACACA